GCAATGAAGGAAAAAGATAATGCTCAAATAAATTCAGCACAGAAATGAAGACAGAACAAACCAATCAGTACCATCACACACACACACACACACACACACACACACACACACACACACACACACAAGATGGCAACAAAATGAAAGCAGTAGAACCAATCCTTTTTATAGTTACAGACATGCTGGTAGAGTAGTCACTGGGGGTTACTTTGCTACCCAAAGTTGGCACCTCTCTGGTGACTTGGATCCTACATGATTCTAAAGAAGGAAGATGAGCAGTCTCTGCTCTGCAATTTATAGCTTCTAAAGACCTGCTGGAGGATCAGCTACAAGCTGGTTTCAACTCAAAGGCAGTAAGATGAGTTGCTGTGTTTACAGTTAAACCAAATGTGAATGGATTAAATGCACTACTCAAGAGAAAAGAGTAGCAGATGGATAAGGAACTATTGCAGAACTCAGGTGGCCTAGTTCACAGGGAGTTGCTCCGCTAACACAAGGCCATGCCTCAATGGTGGTTCAAATACATCAGCTGCTCCTTGGCAGAAAGAGCTGATTCATGCACTTCTGCTCTAATCTGTAATATTTCCTTTCTTCTGGAAATTGTTAGCTTTGCTTGCTAGGTTTTTAAAATTGTTGGAAATGCTAGGGTAAGTGTTAAATTTGATTCTTTTGTTTTCATGTGTGTACACTGCCAAGACTTCTAGAGAACTGCTTCTGCTGTGTCCCAAAGGTTCTGGTATGTTGTCGTCATTCGAATTTGTTTCAGGAAGTTGAATTGTTTTCTCATTTCATCTATTACCTAATAATGTTCCAGAAGAATGTTATTTAATTTACATACACTTAATTTCCCCCCCCATGACCTTCCTCTTCTTGATTTCTCAAATATATAGCATTGCCATGCAAAAGGTATTTTGTATTATTTTGACATTTTTTTTAATTGAGGCTTTCTTTGTGACCTAACAAATATCTGTTTCACAAAATGTTCCCTGCCCATTAGAAAAGAATTTATATTGTGCACTTTTTCGCTGGAGTGTTCTACATATCTCTGTAATATCAAATTGCTTAATTGTATTGATTAGTTTTTCTGTATCTTTGCTGAGTTCCTTTCTAGTCATTCTGTCCTTCATCGAAAGTGGTGTACTGAAGTCTCCTGTTATTTTGAAATGGTTTGTTTTCCTCAGCAGATCTATTTAAAGTGTGATTTAAGTATCTAGGACTCTGTTCCTAGGTGCATAGATATTAATTATAGTTATTATCCTCTTTTTAAATTGATCCTTGAATCATTCTACACCATCCCTTCCTTTATTTTTATTACGCTGATTATTGTCTTACAGTCTATTTTATCAGAAATTAATATTACCACATCTGCTCTTTTTTTATTGTTCTTTGCTTTAGTTTTTCAAACCTTTGATATTCAGTCTATCCTTCTCCACAATATCTTTCTTTTGAGTAGTACACCAGAACAGAACAAGGAAACACTACATAGCTCAAAATTGGGAAGGGTGCATGCCAGGGATGTCTCCTATCTCCATACCTTTTCAATCTATAAACGCAACAGACCATCTGAGAGGCTGGGCTCTACGATATGAGGAGGAGTGTGGCATCAGGATCAGAGGAAGACTCATCAACAGCCTGCGTTGTGCAGATGACAAAACCTTGCTTAATGAAACTGACGAGAACCTGAAGCACTTGCTACAGAAAGTGAAGGACTATAGCCTTCAATATGGATTGAAACTCAACATCAAGAAAACAAAGACTCTCACTGCTGGGCCAAGTGACAACATTATGATAGATGGTGAAGAAATTGAAATTGTTAACAGCTTTAGTTTGCCTGGCTCTACAAGCAACACTTTTGGTACCAACAGCTAGGAAATCAAAGGACAAACTGACTTGGGAAAGTCAGCTGTCAGAGACATCTCCAGAGCACTGAAGAACAACAATATCAGTATGGAGACTAAGGTGCTTCTGTTCTAGGCCATAGTCTTCACAATTGCATGCTATGCATCAGAAAGCTGGACAATGACTAGGGATGATAGAATGAGAATTGATGACTGAGCTGTGGTGTTGGAGAAGAGTATTGAATATACCATGTACTGCTAGGAGAACAAACAGGTTCATCCTAGAGAAGGTGAGACCAGGCTGATCCTTGGAGGCAAGGATTTTGAAGCTTCATCTAACATACTTTGGGTATGTTGCAAGGAGGGACCAGTCCTTGGAGAGGGACATCATGTTTGTGTGAATGGAGGGACAGCACTAAACAGGAAGACCCTTGATGAGTTGGACTGACTCAGTGAATGAGGTAATGAGGGTAGGTGTGTTGGAGACAATAACGTTGGCTCAGGATAGAGCAGGGTTCAGAGCTGTTGTACACAGGGTTGCTATGAGTCTCAGATGACTTGACAGCACATAAAAAAAAACCAACAGTATATTTAATCCATTCACATTATCAATGCACAACTCAACTTACCGCCTTTGAGTTGGAACTAACTCGTGGCTGATCCTCCAACAGGTCTTCAAAAGCAGTAAATTGCAGGGAGGAGGCTGCTCACCATCCTTCTGCAGAGTCATTGGTGGACCCCAGTCACCAGCGAGGTGCCAACTTTGGGTTAGCAAAATAACCCTCAGTGACCGCCCCACCAGAGTGTCTGTAACTATCCACATGCATTTTACTGCTTCCATTTTGTTGTCTTCTTTTTTTTGTGGTATTGCTGATTTCTTGGTCTGGCTACATTTCTGTGCTAAGCTTATTTATGGCTTTGCTTCCCTTTTCCCCCATGGCTATTGTTTTAGTGTTTACTAACTATGGTTTTTCCTCTTTTTATTTTCAGGAAAAGGATTTATTAATTTGCATGATAAATATCCTAAATTTATTGTTTATTCTGAAGTCTGAAACAGTTTACTTTATCTTGAATTCCCCTTAAGTTCCTCTCTAGCATCTCATAAATGAAGTTACTATATTAGTTTGGAAAAAAATGACCTCTAAGACAAAGATCCCAACTGAGTGTGGAAACTATAGAACAATATCATTGATTTCACATGCAAGCAAGATTCTACTGAATATTATCCAAAAATGGCTGGAACAGTACATCAGCAGAGAACTGCCAGAAGTCCAGGCTGGGTTTAGAAGGGGTCGTGGTACTAGGGATATTGTAGCTGATGTTAGATAGATCTTAGCTGAAAGCAGAGAATACCAGAAGACTGTCTATATGTGTTTCATTGGTTATGCAAAGGCATTTGCCTGCATGGATCATAACAAACTGTGGCTGACTCTGAGAAGAATGGGAATCCCAGAACATTTAATCGTGCTAATGTGAAACCTATACTTGGACCAAGAGGCAGTAGTCAGAACAGAGCAGGGTAACACTGCATGGTTCAAAATTGGGAAGGGTGTACGCCAGGGATGCATTCTGTCTCCATACCTTTTCAACATGTATGCAGAGCAGATTATCTGAGAGGCTGGGCTCTATGAGGAGAATTGTGGCATCAGGATTGGTGGAAGATCTATTAACAATCTGCGTTATGCAGATGACACAACCCTGTTTGCTGAAACTGAGGAGGACCTCATGCACTTACTGCAGAGGGTCAAGGACTGCAGCCTTCAGTATGGACTGAGGCTCAATGTTAAGAAGACAAAAATTCTCACCACCGGACTAATCGGTAGCATCAGGATGGATGGTGAAGAGATTGAGAGTGTTCACAGCTTCAGTTTGCTCGGCTCCACGGTCAACACTCTTGGCATCAGTAGCCAGGAAATCAAAAAACGTATTGCGATGGGAAAGTCTTACGGTTAGGGACCTCTCTAAAGTACTCAAGAGCAACGGTGTCTCTCTGGAGACAAAGGTACACCTGATACAGGCCATGGTGTTTGCAATCACTTGTTATGCATCAGAGAGTTGGACAATGACTAGGGAGGATAGAAGGAGAATTGACGCCTTTGAGCTGTGGTGCTGGAGAAGAGTATTGAATGTACCATGGACTGCCAAGAAAACAAACAGATTCATCCTAGAGAGGGTTGAACAAGGCTGCCCCTTGAAGGCAAGGATTCTGGGGCTTCACCTGACATACTTTGGACATGTTGTAAGGAGAGACAGGCCTTTAGAGAGGGACATCATGCTGAGTAGAGTAGAGGGACAGCGCAGGAGGGGAAGACCCTCTATGAGGTGGATTGATTCAGTGACTGGGGTAATCGGGATGGGTGTGTCAGAGGCAATGAGATTGGCACGGAATAGAGCACGGTTATGGCTGTTGTACATAGGGTCGTTATGAGTCGCAAATGACTCGACGGCACATAACAACAACAACAAGACAAAGATCACCTAGCATTATTTTTTTTAAAAAAATGTTACCAATATCTAATTCTTTAAATCTTATGATCAACTACATCTATTTCATATACTTATAATTAGTATATTAATTCTGCTAAGTATTAATTGGATGAAATAACTTGATTGCCCAACTCTGACCATACATCAAAACTCAATCTCAGTGTCACTGAGTCTGACAAAATTCATCGCCAGCCCTATGTTGAGTTTTCAGAGGCTGTATATTTTTCACAGGAGGAGACTTCTCTCTTCTGTAGGGTCAGTGGTGGGTCTGAACCACCACAAAAGTGCCATCTTTGGGGAAGCAGTGCAACTTCCTAAGAATTAGGACCCTAGAACTTTGAATATACATAGAAATGTCAATGTGACTGTTAGAAAAATGAAAATGAGACATCTGGTTACTGTCTGCTTACAAATATTTCAGAAATGTTACAAGAAAATAGGGTAGCTGCAATGCTAAAATGTGTATTTTACATACCATTGTGTGATACACTTATTTCTTTTTAAAAGGACATTTTTTATTAAAAAACAATCATGCTTTATTCAGTTGCATTTCAATGTTGGGTTAGTCTCTTTCTGTGGAGAACACCTCATTAACAAGGGTAAGAAACAATGTATCAGAAGGAATTGAGAAATAATTACAAATCATTATTTAAAAATATATGTGAAATAGAAAATTACCTGACAAGCAATCTGCACGAGGTAGACCAACTCTTTTGATTCACAGCCATTTTTTGTTACTTCGTTCTGTTCTTCTGAAAGTGAAAGCTGCATTACAGAAGAAAAAATATCAGCAGACAGGAAGAGATACCCATGGGAAATGCACAAGAACAAGCTTTATGCACTATCTGAAAAAGACTCCATGTCAATCTAACCCAAGATTTCTCTTCTTTCAAAATCTATTCCTTAAGGCATATTAAGAAAGAATTCACAAGCTTAAAAAAAAAAAAAAACCAAAAAAACTTTCCCAACTTATATTTAACATTTCTTTGTAACATTCAAATAGTATGTGTGGGCAGTAGAAAATATGACCCATTTATTCAAGATGAGGTGTTTTTTCCCTTAATTTACATTTGAAAACAAAATCTAATGCCAGAGAGATAATTTCAACTGAAATCAACCCTCCATCAGATTTAAATATTCATGGGTAGAGACTGTCCATTTTTCTTACACAGGATGGATTCTGTCAACTTTTTTTAAAAAATAAAATTTTTATTTTATACTGGTTTATTGACAAAATTCATATACCTTGTTTTTCCACACTGGGTCTTCCTATTTCCTTTACCCATCCCTCACTCTACCCATAAAATTGTGTGACCCTATGGTTAACCACCACCACTACCCCCCCCACCCATCCTCATCCCTTGGATACATGTTCTACAATACTGGTCTTATACAGTATTTGTTCTTGTGGGACCAGATTAGTTCACTTAGCATAATGCTCTCCAGTCCCTCCGAAGTTAGGTTGTAATTTACACAATTATGGCTCCTTCGTGCTGCATGTAAATATAGCATAATTTATAAATCCATTCTATTGTAGCTGGACATTTGGGCTGTTTCCATGTTCTCATGATGGTGAATAATGCTTCTATGAACACTGGTGTACTAGTTTCTGTCTTTTCCTTAGTTCTCATTATCTGGGTCATATGGAATTTCTCCGTTCAGCTTTCTGAGGAAGTGCCCAACTGCCTTCAAGAGTGATTGTACCATTTTACAATCTCACTAACAACTTATAAGAGTTCCTATCTCACCTCATGCTCTCCAACATTTATTACTTGCGGTCCTGTTAAACTTTGCCACTGCTACTAAGGTGAGATGGCATCTCACTGTGGTTTTGATTTGCATCTCCATTGTTGCCAGTGATTTTGAGCATAGAAATGATCATGTGTCTGTTCAAAATGCCAACTTTTAAGTCTTCAGCCCGATACATGGCACCCTGCATCACACCAGGACAGATAAATAAAAAGAATACATGGAACAGGCTCTGAGACACAGCACATATAACAAATGGTCTAACAGGTCTCAGACTATTGCTATATTGAAAAGTGGGTTACCAAGTTCACCATGCATACGGGTTTTGTTTCAGATTGACCTTTGAAAGTCTGCATGACTGAGTTTACAAATTTATTTTACACACTAAAATTTAGTGTTGGAGCAGTGGCATGCAAACATAAAGATTCTACCAAAAATTTAAAAAATCTTGAATAAAAAGCCCAAATTTTCACAAGGACAACTACTGCACCTGAAAAGTAACCATCACATATAAGTGAGCTGGACTATCTCCACACAATGGCAAGACAATTCCTACTCTTCTGCTTCTTTCTCACCAACATGAAGGCAGAGTGTTAACCATAATAAAATTTTTATTTTATACTGGTTTACTGACAAAATTCATATACCTTGTTTTTCATACTGGGTCATTCCTATTTCCTTTACCCATCCCTCACTCTACCCATAAAATTGTGTGACCCTATGGTTAACCACCACCACTATCTTCATCACCATCTCCATTTTGCTCATGACAGGTTAAGTACGCTGTTTGTGACTGAGGAGATAATTCACGACACTTGTTCTTAATGTTGCCTGTCTCTAGAGCCTGATTGTAACAGAAATGAGTCGAGTGAGTAGGGAACAGGAAAAATGGCAAAACAAGCAAGATGATAAAGATACCAGTGATGGTTACTTTTCAGGTAACATATACCTTCAGCTTTCTAAGTATGAAATGAGACAATGGATGCAAAGTATTCACCAAGAAACCTTACATTCAGTAAGGATTAACAAATATTAGTTGCCATTATAGTTAAAAAGAAATAAAAGGTGTAGGAAAATATTTCTCAATTTACAAACGCAGAAAATGGTAAATACTTCTTAAATCCTTCTGCTAATAAATATCCTTAAAAGATAATAAATATCCTCACTCTTACAGCCAAATGAACCAAATTAACCACAAAATCACAAGATTATTTTCTTTAAACTTTAACAAATTCAATAATTGCTTTATGTATAATTTGTGACAATGACAATATTCTGCAAGTTGTACAAAAACTGTAATTGGAGCTGAGACACTGTGGGACCCACCTGCCAAGAGCAAGCAGGTACTTTGAGGAACAAACTGCTGTCTGGCTTGACTATGTGGGACCCCTTACTGAACCAACAGGGAGGTCATGGGCCCCTCAACGGAGGTGAGAAGCCACTTCCAGAAGGGAACAAAAGGCTTCCTCCTCGGTCACTCATGTATTATGAGAAACAAGCTGCTGTCAGGCCCAAGGCCTGAAATGGAGCAAAAATATATAGGTACTCCTCAAAACATTGCTACAGATCAACATGAACATTTGGGAGCTGTGGGAGCTGCAAACATCAGCAGGGTAGAGTGAGCATCGGCTGGGCACAGTGAGCCTCTGTGGGGAGCAAGAAGACAGCTGGGAGCAGTCAGCTGCAGCAGGATCCATCCACTAAGAGCAAGCAGGACAGCAAGAAATTAAGTGATGTACATATGAGGGGATCACAGGTTATTGCTTACCCAACTGTGAGACCCCACCATGTTAAGTAAGAAGGAGTGAGACAGCTGGAGCACGACTGTGGTGGCAGATCCAGTTCTTGAGGGGAAAACCAAACTTCCTGGTTTTCCATTCAGGTCTTCCCCACACCCCCCTCCCATAAGCATCTGTGTTCAATGTTCCAAAAGAAGCAGACTACCTCACTCACCCACAAGCCCAAAGTAAGATTCCACCTCAAAAAAGCAACAGAGTAGCAATGGATTTCCTGAAGCCAGAAAGTCTGATGAACTTCCTGACACAGAATTCAAAAGAACAATGATTGAGTATTTTGAATGGGTGAAAAACAAACTTAAAGAATTACAGGACACTGCAAGCAAAAATCAGGAGGAGCTTAAAGAAAAAATAAATCCATAAATGCATTAAAGGCACCGGAAAAACAAGAAACCATGATCTAAAATATGAGGTCCAAGGTTTCAGATGCTGTCAACATGATTGATGGACATTTGAACAGGGTTGAAGAGATAGAACACAGAACCAGTGAAACAGAAGTTAGAATTGTCAACACTAATCTGCTAGAGCAAAAAGCAGAATCAAAAAAAGAAGGAAAAAGAAGAAACCCTAAAAATAATGTCGGACATCATCAAGAGAAATAACATGTGCATCATCAGAATCCAAGAACAGGAAGAAGCAAGTAAAGACACTGAAAAAGTTGTGGAAGAATTACTATTAAAAAAACTTCCCAGGCATGAGAGAATACATATTGAAGAAACTGAGCAAACACCATATAGAATAGATACCAAAAGAAAAATATCAAGGAATATCATAGTCAAATTTGCAAAAACCAAAATTAAGAGAGAATTCTTAAAGCAGCAAGGGAGAAACAAAGAGTAACCTATAAGGGAAATAAGTTATAGTGCTGATTTCCCAATTGCAAAATGGTCAAAGGATATGAACAGACACTTCACAAAAGAAGACATTCAAATGGCACACAAACACATGAAGAAATGTTAAAAATCCGTAGTTCTAAGAGCGATGCAATTCAAAACAACTATGAGCTATCATCTGACCCAAGTAAGAACAGTAAAATTTAACAGAATAGCAAACAACAAATGCTGGCGAGGTTGTGGAGAAACTAGAACCCTTATTCACTGTTGGTGAGAATGTAAAATGGTGCAACCACTATGGAAGGCAGTATGGTGCTTTCTCAAAAAGTTGGAAATAGAAATACCATTTGACCCAGCAATTCTACTACTGGGAATATACCCTAATGAAACCATAACTGCTACCCAAGCAGATATAGGCACACCCATATTTATCGCAGCTTTGTTCACAATAGCAAAGAGTTCCAAAGAACCTAAGTGCCCATCAAACGAATGGATAGAGAAGCTATGGTACATTCACATAATGGAATAGTATGCTGCATTGAAAAACAAGGAACTCATAAAATATTAAACAAAATGGGTGACCCTGGAGGACTTTATGTTGAGTGAAATATCTCAGTCACAAAAGGACAAATACAGCATGGTGCCACTGTTGTGAAACGGGACTGACATCAGGATGACTGAGAAAGATGGGATAAATTATGTATATTGCATTGAAAAAGATGAGGGAGAGAACTGTTTAAAAGGGATATATGATTAGGTATCATTGTCATTACAGGAGTCCAGAATGAAGCCTGCATAGTGGAGTGGATCTGGGAGGAGGGACTGTATTGAGATGGAAGAAATTTTTTTCTTTTACTTTTCAAAGAGAAGAGCGAATGGGGTGGGTGGGGAGGAGAAGTGGGCAGGGAGAAAAGCACAACAAAAATGAATGGAAATCCAAAGTGTCTCAAACTTTCATTAAAATTAATAATAATAATAATAAAAGTGTGTAAGTGAGCTTAAGGAGGAGGAAAGAAAAAAAAATTCTAATTATTCTTTTCTTACTTGCTCTTCCCTGACTAAGATAAAGTCATTGCCCTCTAAGAATCCTGTTTTGGTGTTTTTTGAGGGTTGCTTTTTTTTTAGTCCATGGGATATGCAATATTCTTCACAAACAACATAATAAGGAATCATTGATATTTCTTCTTTGATCTTCCTTATTCATTATCCAACCTTTCAGGTGTACAGAAACAACTGAAAATACCATGGTAGACATTTTTACTGGCTAATATAAACTACTGCTTTATTTCAAGATCTTAGAGGATATAATGGTTTAAGCTGGAGAAGGATGGACAATCTCCTCCAGTGTGATTTACTGCCTTTGAAAACCTGCCTCAGGGTCTGCTAT